AGGGATGCAATACTCCCCTATTATTGGACAGGTAGGTTCCTACTTTAAATAATGCCTCGATCATGGCTTCTAACCTATTTTGTGTTGTCTTCATAGACTAAATATCCAGAATTGGGGTTATAGGTTAAAAATATCACCACATAATTTATAGATTTGGATATACATTACTAAGTTGCTTTTGAAAAGGGTTTTATTGCTAGTTTAAAGAATCATGGATGATGAGCACACGCTCTCTCTACAGCATATAGTGGTATCATTTAAATTTATTTTCTAATTTGAAAGGCAAAAAAAGGTATCTTTCGTTAATATTATTGATTACAAGTGAAGGTAACAAATTTCTATATGTTTGTTCAGCAGCCACGTTCTTTGTGTATTGTCTGTTCATGTTTTTCTTATTGGAATAATTATATTTCTTTTTTAAATATTTGTATGAACTGTTTATTAAGATACTAACTACACATATTTATCCTAAATTTTTTTTTTAATAAATGTATTTATTTATTTATTTATTTGGGGGCTGCATTGGGTCTTCGTTGCTGTGCGCGGGCTTTCTCTAGTTGCATTGAGCAGGAGGCTACTCTTTGTTGCAGTGTGCTGGCTTCTCATTGCAGTGGCTTCTCTTGTTGTGGAGCATAGGTTCTAGGCGTGTGGGCTTCAGTAGTTGTGGCATGTGGGCTCAATAGTTGTGGCACGTGGGCTCAGTAGTTGTGGTGCACGGGCTTAGTTGCTCTGTGGCATGTGGGATCTTCCTGGACCAGGGCTCGAACCTGTGTCCCCTGCATTGGCAGGCGGATTCTTAACCACTGTGCCACCAGGGAAGTCCTAAATTTTTTTGTTTAAAAATTTTTGTGACATATTGAAATGTCTAATCTTTGTTTTTCATATCTGTTTTTTCTTTGTAGTTTCTTCTATTCTTTTTAAGATGAAACAAATTCCTTTCTGTTATGGTCTGAATTGTGCCTCCCCCCCACCCCCAGCCCCCACCAAATTCATATGTTGAAATTCTAACCCCCAGTACCTCAGAATGTGACTGTATGTGGAGAAAGGACCTTTAAAGAAATAATTAAAGTTAGGTCACTAGGGTGGGCCTTTATCCTGCATGACTGATGGCCTTATTTTTTTATTTTTATTTTTTTTGCTGTACGCGGGCCTCTCACTGTTGTGGCCTCTCCCGTTGCGGAGCACAGGCTCCGGACGCGCAGGCTCAGTGGCCATGGCTCA